CTGTATATATTGCCACTTTTTATTCTCTTGTGGATAAGTTTTGGCATGACCTTTCACAGATTTTTGTCAGACTTGTCCTTCATGAGACTTTCCTACAGGGGCAGAACAGATCCATTTTCCATTGCTGATTATTAATTGCACAAATTGGGCTTCCCATAACAAATGCCTTTACAGCCAGGATATGACTAATATACTTTACAGCTTGAACCACTATTCTTCCCTTTAAAAATGTTTGTGAGGGTTGCAATAAGAATGCTGTATTTTGATTTTTAATCTAGGAGCTGAGAATCGGAATTGTTCAGAGAACTATCTGATTTCATGATTTCATAATTTTACATGTTCTAAATGCAACTTTCTACTTGATAATTTGCAGTCAAGGTAAAGCATACCAGCAGAATGTATTTCTACCATCAAGGAATAAGCAATGATTTATATCAGAAGATAGATAAAATGAAATCATTAATGACCGTTCTTAGTTCTTTCAACAGTGATGAAGATGAACTAGAAATAATTTGTGAGAAACAAATGTGAGGTCATTCATCTTTAAATCAACCTTTTTCTAAATCAAGATCAACTCACTACTTTCAATATAAAATATCTAGTAACTGCAGAAGATATGCTATATATACACACACGTATACATATAATCTTATTTTGTGTGTCTTTTATATGTATTCATGCTACTTCTAGGTCTAAATAGTATATCAGAAATAGTGTAGGTTTTGAATGCATGCCTCATTAAGAGATGTTAGTCCACTCAAGTAGAGTTAATCTGTAGGGATCAGAAGAAAAGATCAGTATTGTGCATTATATGGTTGATTATAAAAGATCCATCATTGAAATATCTTTATTTGTGATTTCTCAAATAACAAAAATGTTTAGTTATACTTTACCTAGTAAGCAACAGGATATATATTACAGAGGGTACCTTACTAGATATGTGGCATTGCTAATTCTACAGATTTTCTCTTAAGTCACATAATACCAAGGTTTTCCCCTCAAAGTTTTCAAATACACTTTGCCCTTGGAAAAATGCTAGCAAAATCTTAGTATCATAACAAGTAGTTGGAAGGGGGTATCAAGAAGTCATCCATGTCTAAAAATGGGATCAATTTTAGTCAGACAATCTGTATCCAGTATTTGCATCTCATTCTTTTTTGACAGGCTTTTAAAATAGTCCATTGTAGAATGTGTTGTTTGTTTTCCTTAGTGCTTTGGTGTCCTTCTCATTGTGTGTTTTTTAACTACTATCTGAAATATTTTTGCTGCAAATAAATTTTATTTCTTATCATTCTTTCTTACTGCAGCTATGGATATGGGCTTATCCCTATCCTGTTTGTAATGTGATTTTAGCTGGAAAGCTGTTACTATGTTTTCTCATAATCTTCCTTTCATAGATGAAGCTAGCAGAATTCCCTCAACCTTGCCTCTCAGGACATGTTTTCTAAGCCTGTGATGATTCTTGCTGCTTTCTTCTGGGCACTCTTTAGTTTCCATACATCCTTCTAGATCTGCAAATTCCAAAACTGTATGCCAGCAGAGGTCTTAACAGCTGAAAAGAATGCAAGGATTATTTCCATTGTCTTCCCATGCACTTTCTGGTGATATTGTAATCTGACATAATTCCCAGAGCCTTTTCTACAGAAATTTTATGTTGGCAGTAAGATTCCCATTGTGACATTTATGTAGTCCATTATTTCAGCCCAGTGTAGTGTTTGGTATTTATTCTTAGCGGATAGTGTCCTTTTTATCCTAGAATACATCTACAATTTGTGAAGTGTGTATTAATTTGTGCAGTCTGTTTTCTCAAAGTGTTTTGATCTCTTTCCAGTGAAATTTACTTACTGATCTGACCTCTCTCCAATTTTTCAAAATGTTTTTGAATTCTGATTCTTGTTCCAAAATGCTTGCTATCCCTTCTAATTAAGACTGTTTCTACACATTTGATAAGTTCATTTTCTAGTCAGTGTCCTACATCATTCAGTAAAAACTGGTTGGCTTTGGTTTCTTTTTTTTTTCTTTTGGACTTAACAAAAAGATTTTGTAAAGAGCATACCTGTTTTGAAACCAGTCTTGTTACGTGGACAAAGCTGATTCTGGGAATTGTTTTCTCATTCTTTCTCAGAGGACATTATTGCCTTTTACCACTTGCAGAGTACCGTTTGCAGACACCAGTATTCTTTTCTCAGCACCATTTGTGTAACTGCCCACTCGTAGCATCTCTCCATGATTATAAAACATTGGCAACCCCTGAATTAAATTGATGAATCACCTTTTGTCTTGTAATGCAATCAGATATCCAAGACAGTTCCATGCTCTATAATATAAAAACAAATACATTAATTATAGGCAGATTAACTAAAAATAGATTTAGGGAAGTTATTCAATATCTTTTTTATATGCTTATGAGGGATTTCCTTTTTATCTCTCTCAGACTTCCTCATTCCTCTTAGGTATGTCATGAGGAGGAATTAGGTCACACTCATTTTGAAATTTTTGAGCTATTATAACTTTTTGAAGACACTTTGTAATTGTCCTACGTAGATGTTTCAGGAGGAGGTAGTAAAGTAAAAGAAATTACTGTACAGCACATCAGCAATTGTATAATTAATAGATAGAAAGTAGCTTAGCTGTTAATGAAAGAGAGGGTTGTTTCTTCACATTTACCACAGAGGAAGAAAAATATGTAGATACTGCAGATCTTCTGACAGTGCTTAAATATCTCACAGCAATTGATGTTTGCAATGGGTTTACATCAACTAATGTCAAATCTACCTGAAAACTATGTTCTAGCATGTGCTACAATCCAATCAAAGTTCTATAAATTGTGATCAATGTTTTAGACTCCAATCCTTTAATCCCATTATCTCTTGATTCAAATTCTTGAATTTTCTTGTCCCTTAAATGCTTTTTAGGTACGTTTTTGAAGTCATGTAGCCTCAGAAAAAGTGACATGAGGATATTAATAACATTTTAGAATTTTGTGCAGAAAAACAAAATTCAATTCCATTTTACGAAGCCAGAAACACATAGGAAATACAGGAACAGCATTTTTTAGTGTCATGTAGAGAAATCATAGTGGAATTGAACAGTTTAAACCATAAGATAATGTGAGAGAAAGAAGTTAGGTTGCCATAGTACAAGGGATTAGATGTGGAAAGGGAGATGTTTAGTAAAATATAAAATAAAACTTATGATAGCTGGGCTTTTCATGGTAAAGCACTAGATAATTTGAGACTGCAAATAAGATATAAAAATTCTTCCTGTTACTTTGATATAGAGTTTTCACTGGCTCCTTAGTGGGTCATAGCCTATTCTCCCCATGAATTACTAAGAATTTACCTCGTTTATCGAATCTTCTGTGAAGTCTCCCAATAATGATACTTCTGTAATGTAGGCTTTATTGTGCCGTATGGAGAGCATCTGATTCTTGTGGCTTGAAGCTCTCATCAAAATACAAGTTTCTGTTTACCTTAAAATTCTTAAATCAGTAACCCAATGTGCTTCAGTAAATAGTCTAACTCACAAAATTTTAAAAAGATGTTCTTTCTCAAAGTAGATCACTCAAAAACCTTCAAGAGGTGACATTTGAGCACTGTTATCAGTCTGCTAGTATTTTTGCCTAGCCTTTGTTTTCATGCTGAAATTTATGGTAGGACATAGGCTTCAAGTCCAGGTGTTTGTTCCTTCCTTCTTCCTGTCCCAACAGACTTTAAGCTTCCCAAATCTATTTTTTTCCTCTTCTTTCCAAGCTTATATACATATAGGATTTCTTTGTTGTATTAAGATGTGCTGAGAGGATTACTCCTAGTTTTCCTGATTGGAGGCAAACTGGTCTACAGAGATAGTAAACTACTAATTCAAATTGGCAACTTGATTTTAAATACTGACATTATGAAATTAATATTCAAATACATTCTTAATATTTCTACCACTTAAACCTTCCTCATAAATTTAAGAAATTTCCCTTCACTGTTCCACATCAAAGAAAAAAGTTTGCTAGCCATAGAATGCGCACAAACATGCCTTTTCAAAAAGGCAAGAAGTTTGGCAGTAAAAAGGAAAAAAATTAAGTCCTTCTGGGATGTCACTGATGGTGTTTGCTTTTAAAGGTAATCTGAAAACTTACGGTTTTGATGCTATGGAATTGATTATAATGAGACCAAATTAGTTTTGTCTCTCAAAATTTAGATAATTAGAAACTTATTTTACCTTTTTTTGTTGTTTAATGCAGGGGTTTCGCAGTGAATCCTCACTGAGCCAGCAAAGTACATTTCTGAAAGAAAAGACTCATGTCTGTCTGTTAAATTTTGGTGTACATAACTTTGTGTTTTAATACTCTGCATGAAGTTTGATCTTTCTATTTGCTTATAAGCAAATCCATGCTTATTTAAAAAAAGAAATAGGTTTTGTTGCACTTATTATTTTTATGTTATTATTTCTTTAAAATAAAATTGACAGAGCTATTTATAACTCCCACAAGCCAATTCTGAGAAGCTTTTTAAACAATTAAATTTTGTTTCAAAGTTAACAAACAATGGTCTGTGTTTTCCATCCTATTTTCTAACACACGTTTCCTTTCAGGAGTAGACATAGATCTATGATTGGTTAAAGTAGAGCACAGTGAAAGAAAAAGTTGGTAGGTATTCAATACACAGATATGTGTGTGATTGGTATTTAGGAACTGCTTATTAACCCTCAATGCAGACTGTGTGAGGATGGGCTAGTGATCACAATATAGAACAGGACAAGTACCAAAAGAATTGCACTGTATTGCAATATTTGACATTTTGCTATTAGACAGGCCACACATGGTTTATTTTAAATGAGAAATTTTATGTTTGGCTTGAAAGATACTACCACTATCAATAGTACATAATAGCAAAATAAATAACTTTCCCATATGGCCGTTAAAATAAAAAAACAAATTTCTTTTAACAGCAGAAGTCTATTTAAAATGGTAAATATAATTTTTTCTTATATTGATTTTCTTTTATTAGGTTTTATACAAAAGAAAGTATTTATTGACATTTTTATTGACTTGATTAATTTGAATCTTGGAACAAATTGCCTTCCTGATATCTGGCTGAACTTAACACTTCCAGTTGTAAGTAAGTTAACTGTGATTTTAATTTCAAAAGTATTGGTTTGTGTAGAAGATGCAGCATTGTGCTTACTATGATAAAGTCAAGAATATAACTGTTATAGGGCATTATCAGTTTTTCCTTAAAATTCTTGCATTTTAACTAGAGAAAGAAAGATTCTGTAAGCCACTTTGCCAGAAATAAAATGGTTTTGTCAGCACTATATTTATTTACGATTTTCAAATTATATCAGTTCCTTAGACACCATTGAAAATTCATTTCCAGGAGTTAAAACAAGACTGTTTATTGTTCTTTGTTCCAAGACAGGAAGATAAAATCTGGAGCTGTATGACCTTAAACTTATATATCCAATATTTTAGATTTAGCAACATGAAAAAATATAATTTAGTCTTTGCAAATCTTCCATCACTGATATCTCTGATTAATTTTACTTTCAGATGCTGCTGGTTAGCCTACGGGATGAAAAGTTTCATTTGTTTTAAGCATATTTTGATAATTATTTCTGACAGTCAGCCATGATTCACATTAAGATTTTAATTGCATTTTACATGAGGGAAACAACTCTATTCAAGTATTCTTCACACAGACAAACTCAATGAATAAACCATTTTAAAGTTTTTGTGTGATGGATTTCTGCTGAGTTTAGTGAAAACTAAGCACAGCTGTCATCATCAGCATATAAAAATCTAATCTTAACACAGGAAATTAATTATATGGGGAAAACTATGAGTCAAACATTTATTAATAGACCACATGTGCATGTATCCCATGATTTTTATTCTCTGAGAACCCTTAGTGTTTATAAGTACTGTTTTTATTTTAGTAACAGAATTTCCTTTCCTTAAAAACACTATTTTAATATGAGACTTTTAAATTTATAGTGAAAGCAAGAACTTACATATAAAAGGAAATGCATGAAGCATAAGCTAAGGTATATATTTATTCCACACAAGCTATTCTGAACTGAACTCACCATTTTGTCATTGTGTGAGTTAATAGAATTTCAGACAAGTTTTCAAATTGTAATAAGCGGTACTGTACCTGCCAATGTTAGGGCATATGACATCTACAGCATTACCAAAATTGTCTCACTCTGTGTTGCCCCAGGCCTTATTCCTGTAAACACATTCCTTCTCAACTCCAGTTTGGAGCAAACTAGTCACTTCCCTTGGCAAGGACATTTGAGTGTGGGGCAGAAGGTAGAGTAGAGTAGGGTCTCAACACACCAGTACTGCAGTAATGAATTGTGCCAGTTTTGTTCTCTCTGGCAGATACAGCCTTCACGGTGCTGTGCCGGGAGATTTTGCATGTATTCTCCTACTTGTGTTCTGCTATCCACATACAACATCTTTGGTGGGAAATAGGTACATGCAGAAAGCTGCAAAGCAGCTTTTCAATTACTACTTTTTTCTAACTGAAATAATGCTGGAGCAGAGAAAGCCATGTGGTGGACACCTGTAAGAGTAAGCAAAATAGGGCCAAGGCACAGGCACAAGCATTTACTGCATTTTGTACTCATGCTGCTAAATTGTCAGTTCAATTCTTAGCACTCACAGATGGAGCATGGTTCAGGGGTTAGCATGTACTAAGGGCTTTTTATCTCATAGGCAGTTTAGATACAGGCCCCTAATTAGAGAGTCAAAGTATTTACTTAGAGGAATATCCACTGCACATGCCAAGTGCCTTAGTGGCAGACAGTGCTCAGTGGCCTGTTTTGTTTAGTGTATCACTAAATTGTCCTTTATACATTTATTGTGTCATTTTTGAAATCTCACTGCAGAACCTTGTCCATCCTAATCAGGGAAAAGACCTAAGGATACATAGTATGTAGAAGGTGTATGTTTACGCACGCATGTTTAACAGTATTTATTATTTTGTTTTTATAGTTACAAAATCTGGCATCTGCATTCATAGTGAACTCAGAATTTATTGACTGGCGCAGATTCTTGCTAGCAGCAGCACAGCCCTGGCCAGTGCCATCTGTGACACAACTTCTCAAAACACTACATAGCTTCAAGTCTGTTGATGTAGCTGGATCAGGCTTTGTTACACAGGAGTACTATATGCAGGTTATAATTCCTTTCTCTTTTGAATAATATGATTTTGTTAAACTCTCTGAATTGAATTATGTATTACTGGGTTTATTCAAGTTCAGAAAGTCAATCTGAATTTTAACTGGTTTTTTTTTTTTTGAGGATGCTTTCTAGTGAAAATAGTCTTCAGGAAATTGAAGGCCTAATTTTGAGTGCAAATCCTTCCTGCTCTAAAGAAACTATTCTGTGAGCACTTTGACTACTATTAACCTGTTTGACACTGTATCTATAAGACAAAAAATTTGTTCTAAACAGAAATAAGTATTTAGATTGGGGCTCACTGGCTCTACTTTAAATATTTCTAGAATTTTTCCAGTGAGGAATTCTTGCAAATGAAGATTATTTTTATGACCTTGAATAGATGGAAAATTATAAAATCCTTTGATCTATTCTTTTCTCTAAAGACAACTTCTATTTGAACTGTCGTGTAGTTCAGTAAGGTTTTTCAGGAAGCAAGTTTCATGAAAGAGTATTAAGAATACATTTTTCTTCTTTCAGCAATATACTGCTCATTAAGTTTTCACTTACTTTTACTTTGGATTCTTAATCATACTTGGGATGACTCTTTTAATGTGTACATTGTATACATGCATACCTATATATACACATATATATGTAGGTATATATGTGTATGCATGTATACACAAACGTTCTACAGTTCTGTCAGTTTATATTTGTTTGGTGATATAAAAATAAAAACCTTTGTTATTCCAGAAGTCTGTCAGTTTCAGAACTACTTAGATTAATTTAAAAATTCCAAGAGTGCCTGCCAGTGCCTACCTACCCCAGCCTTGCAAAGAAACAAATGCTGCAAAGCCAGAAAACCCACAAAATGTGCAGGTCTATCTACATCTATTTCTCTATTGATGTGGTAATTTTTACTGAAGTGTGAGAGTTTAAAAATAAGCTAACAGTTACAAGACATGCAGACTGTAAATGTACATTTTTAACACAGGATCCTAGTTCAAATATAATAATAACCAAACAATTAATTTACTCACTTTAGGATTGGAATTGGCTCACATTCAGTCAATGATAGCAAAAATGCAGTGGTGTATACCCATTTGTTTATAGACCTACATTCCCTTAGTTCCTCCAGACTTCCATGAGAGTGATGAGTCTGAACCTACAGTCTCATTGAGTTGCTTGAAGACTAAAAAGGACTAAAAAGTTCATAGAAACACAGGTAACTCCACAGCTGAAACTCCTTTTTCAAAAGAGCACTATATAGGTAGGCACATAACTAGGTGCTCAAGAGAATGTTATGGGAACCTCCAAAGACCATCCAAAGCAACTCAGTTCAACATTCGGCATTGCTCTGAAGATTTTGCTCTGCAACCAATTCATATTGCAAATAAAAATTGTAATGTCTATCACTTCCATTTCATGTTTGAAAATATAACCAAAACTTTCTTCACTTAAAAACCTCCTGAAAACCCTGTGTATTTGCTGTATATGAGGTCCTACAGTTCATGTTACTGACAGTACTCTGGTTCGGAATTTTTCATATACAATTATGAGAAGAACAGGAAGAGAATTTTTTAGACTGAAGTAAACTTTAGTCCTCTAATTTCAAATTAATTAATGAGGAGCATCTGAATTGTTTATTGTATCCATTTAGAGTAATTTATGGCAAATTTTGTGAGGTCAATACTTGTTTCATTTCTTTCTTATTAATTTCTTTCTTGAAAAAATTATGATTTGTGTTCTGTGGAACATGGTGCACTAGAGAATGAATGAGTCAGTACAGTCCATAAAACTAAGGAAAGAACAACAGCTGAGAGTTAGTAAAATAATTGTTCATCAATTGCTGTTATTGATATTATATCATCGACAGCAAACCATCTGATATATTTCTGGTAAAGATCTCAAAGACAACATGAAGTCTATTTTCTTGATGCTAATTTTCTCAGTTTTATCAGCTAACTCACATGGAGAAAAAGCAGAAAATTAGCTTTACTGATTTGTTTTTCTTTCTGAAAATCTATTGGAAGGTCCCGCTTTGTCCTGTCTCATTGTCTTGCTTTGTAAAGAAAACACATAATAATAATGCAATATTTTATATAGTCAAGAATATAGTAATACACCCAAACTGTGGAAAAGCATGTTGCTAATGAAATTTTTAACTTTGTTACAATATTTTAACTGAATGTTTACACTGAAAGGCTATTGTATCTCTCACTAACATCTGTGATTCATGTATTAGTCTATTAATATAGTAAGATTTTTTCAAATGTTAAAGTCTTTCAGTAAAAATGGAAACAAACTTTAATCTCTGTTTAATACTGAGTCTTACATGCATTCAAAGTGTCATTAAACTTTATTTTATTTTACTGTCTTAACAAGAAACTATGACAAGAAATGTTCATTGAAAATAACAGGAAGAACCTTCCACTGGGAATTTGAGGGTCCTCTATCTGCACCTGTACTAGTAAACTACACAGTGCTAGGGAACATCCCCAGGTAGTGGTACTCAATTGTCCATACTGTGACATTGTTTGCACAACCTGGCATGATTTTACACGGGCCACGTCGAAACAAGTGAGTTTTTCTGTAGGCAGTCTCTTCGTGGTCATCCTGGTTTAGAAGGTAAGTTCTAGCTGATATTTCCTGTGTGTTGGGTCTTGTGTTGGAGAACTGGTTCTAGACCCTTTTAATTTACAGTTGTAGCTGTAGCTCTGTAGGCAGTACAGGACACTTGGTCTTGTTGTTGGGAGGAGGCAAGCATGGGAAGAGCTGGAAGGACATGTCTCTGTCCTTCATTATGCTGAAGTGCGTGGACAGTTTCTGCCAAAAGTACAGCTAGAACAAAAGCAATGTGGTAGCAAAAGATACCCTAGAAGGAAGAAATCAGAACACACATAGAAATTCTGCATCATATTCTGCTTCTGGGGCAGTGTAGGTTTACAGCTGCCTTGTTAATTTTCACTTTTTTCAAGAGCATAGAGTTTTATCACACTCCATTTTCAGTAATTCCCAAAGTATCTGTTAGAAACATCTACTTCATTATTCTGATGTCATTGCATATTAATAACAAATTCAGCTTGATTAAGTCCAGGAATTAAGCTCTTAGTAGTCTGTCTGTTGAACACTTATAGAGCATAAAGGCCACTGTATTTTAATGTGTGAAATTACTTCTTTTTTGCCAGGTTGGCTTGTGGTTTGATGGAAATGAAGATCCAAGTGTAACAAAAAGTTGCACAGAAACTTTGCCTTTAGATAGGCTGAGACAGCTCATAAAGGTAACTTTAAAAACAGGTATTTTGAAGAGACCCCTCACTATTCTAACCCGAGAGGTTTCATTCAAAAGTTCATTGGGTCTCTTTTTTTTGGTAACTACTGCAATGTTTCAGTGGTTTTTGAGGTCAGGTAGTGCTTCAGAATATGATTTCCATGCATAAAAACCTCAAAGTTGGGAATAATGTAGAAAGGTATCTAGGAATTGTCCTTCAGTGTTCTAAATCATAGTCTACTCAGAAAGACTTAATTATTTCTGTTCTCCCTTGAACCGCATTAATTTTGCTATACAGTAACTAGCATTGTAAAGAATGGGAGGCAAAGGATCCTTCCATCTAAGCTTGTGGAATTCTCCATGGAAGGGAAATAATAGTGTGATCTGAATATAAGAAAATGTTTTGGACCTGTTTGTCCAAAATAAGTCCATAATACAAGATTTTACGACTCCTCCTTGTTCTGTGGAAGTCCTCAATCTAGAAAAGGAGATACTACAATTTCTGTTTCCTTCAATGACTTGGAGACGTATGTGATTTATCTTGATTTACACAGCCTCAACACATTTTTAAAGATAAAATCACTTATCAGCAGTCATTATTTTATTTCATCCTTTTCTCCATGGTCTTTGATTTGTATTTGATTAAATTCCAATTGTAAAAATTAATTTACATATTTTTGTCCTTTTGTAGTTTTTCTTCACTTTATTTGTTGATACCGGAAAAGATCCTGCTCTGCTCAACTATACTGAGATGCTACTTTATTTTGCTTCCCACTCTGATCCAGTTGAAGGTGTTTATAGAGCACTTAGCGTTGCCACTGGAACATATATTCATAGGAAAGGAGAAGCTTCTCTTCCATGTGTGGTAAAATATTACAGTAAAATATTAAAGAATAGTAGTGGTGCTTGCAAATTATACATTAGCTAGATATCTGTATATTTTCTTATCCTGGGTAGCTCCAGTCCTCAGAAGTAGTCCCACTGGCTTCATGGGAACTCTGCAAATAGTTCCACTGACTTTGGTAATAATACTCAGTAGTACTCTTGCAAAAGTCTGAAAATTTGCTTGCCAAACAATTATAGAAGTTTAAGATATTTACTGGTAGCTGCTCCTTGTACAGATAAACGGAGGACATTCTTTGACCTAATCTTAGACAATTAAGTCCAGCTGTCAATCCCAAGGAATTAGACTGTAGTGTGACTTACAGTATTGTTGTCTAAATATAAAACCTGATATTATTGCTGGTCTTGCTTTCTTTTACACTATGTTTCTTTGGGGTATTTATAAATATATGCACCTTCGTTGTTATTTTAAATTGTTTTGCTTTACCTGTAAGGTAAGAAGGATTAATAATTAATAATTTGTTTCATATGAAATATCTTTTAAAAATTATTTTTAGAGCCATGATGAACTTATTGTCACATTAAATGAAGCTGGGCTTTTGAACATTGTTAGTATTTCTAGATTATGTTGTTATTTTTAGTCTCAAAACTGCTATTAGTGCACTGCATGCATCAGTTCCTTCTTATTGAAGTACAAGTAATTTTCTGAGACATAAAATGTACACACGTTGGAAAGAGCTTGCTCTTCTAGCTAATAAAATGTTTCACTATGCTGTCACAACCACAGTGACTCTTAACATTTGCCTAATACTTAGAATACAGTTGTGCTTTCCAGAAACAGTATAGAAAGGGCATTATTTTACCACACAGTGTAATCCCACACATATTCATAATTACATTTCATCACTTCAAATGACAAAATATATAATTGTACTCCCCTGTGTCTGCTTTTATTTGGTACAACAGAGTTTATGTGCATGGGAGAGATTAAGACAATTTCCTTTTCACATTTCATAGAAAGAAGGAGAGCACAGAATGCTACCAATTAGATGGAGTAGATCTGAACTTAGTTTCCCACATTTCAGTGGAAAGGTCTAACTCTCATATCATTGGATGTAAAGCAACACAACCTTTTCCCCTCCTTACGGTTTTCTGCTTGCTTTGATCTGTTTGGTTGGGACTTTTCTAAGATTGTAACTGCCTGCACTGGCATTATCACCTGTATGTCAATGACTTCTTAAGGGTTTGACTTCTTAAGGGTTTGACTTCTTAAGGTTGTGAGTTATATTTACCTTCAATCTAAAATTAACAGTGTGTCTCTGAGGAGCAAGAATAATGCCCATCCAACCTGAGAATTTCCTCATACTTAGTTTCCCACTCCATGTATTGGCTCTGTGAATCTGGGCTATATCTGATGTATGTCTCACAATTATATGGACAGTTTGTGTGCCCCATTCATCTTGGGGAGTCCCTTAGAAACATAGAAACATCTAAGAATTAGGTTCTAAATGAACACCTTGCATGTGTGGATCCTCTTTGACTTTATAGTAATCTTTTATAGGTTGGTTCTCAGAATTTGCAGGACTGATAGAACAATATTTTAATCATTTCTTTGTTCTTAAACCTTGTGTTCCATTTTTATACACTTTAACAATAATGTTGAATACAGAAAACAGAGAACAAATAAAATCCTGTTCCACCGAAGTGAACGAATTTTCGCTATTGGCTTCAGTACGTCCAGCATTTCATGCAGGATATTTCACAACCACAAGGGGGCAAAAAGTACGTTATGAGTTGGTATCTTGTCACGTTTCAGTCAAGCTCCATCAAATAGAAAGCGAGATCCCTGAAGACATCCAAAGTGATTTTCAGCACCCAGTTAAGAACCTAAACCTTTGCCTGCCTGTGGCTGTTTACAGTTCTCACTACAGGTACTGGAAACTGAGTAAACTTCAGTGGGATATAAAGAGCTATCCAGCTAATCTCAAAGGAGTTTTGTAATACACCTTATATAGCCAGCTTATAAGTAGGCATTTATGCAGCAGCACCTGATGTAAGTTGTCGTCTCTTCTCTTTTTCTTGTTCTGTGCTGATAATTGCAATGACTTCTCATTGGTAGCTGCCTACAGAAATACGTCAGAAACTTCAGTGATGTTAATAGGAGAAGATCAGACAAACATGTTCTAGAATCTTTTATTAACTAGCAAAGGCCCTTTCATGTAAAATGCTTAGCTTTTAAGTCTCAATAATTTTGTTATTGGTTGTGTAGATCTTATAGCTAAATATAAATGGTACAGTGGGAGATAGAAAAACTTAAGTGCTGATATTTGTGTAATCTCCACTGTTGAGTGTTACAAAGAGTGTATCAATGACTCTGCTACTCCAGTGTTGAAAAAGACATGTATTAAGGCCTAAGACAGGTAGCACAAGTGTGACTGAATCTCAGCAGTCTCTTCCTCCTAATGAGGAAAGAAATGGTATGTTCAATTAAATGCAATTTTCTGTTGTTCATGGTTAGTCTGCACAGTGGCCTAATCTAGTCAAAGCATTGTTCACCTATGTGAGGTCCTTTCTCATCTTCTTGCTCACAAATCTCCACAGCAGGTTTTTTTTTTTTCTCTTTGGTGATCTCTAATAACACCACAAAGACACCTCATTTCTTGTTTATGGTAAACTTCTAATTTTTCTGCATAAAGCTTTTCTCACCTTTCCCTGTGGAGAGCTGGTAAGCCTATGTTAACTATTAGACAAAATAAAGGTCTTGCAGTGACTCCTTGATTTGGACTAGAAAATTCATGCTGCTTTTTTCATGTGAACATCCAGAATTGCCAAGTTTACTCCTTATATAAACACAAAGTTCGTGGTAGAGTATTGTGATTTGTAACTTTTAAGTATTTTAATGTTTTGTTGCTCTGAAGAATATTAATTTCTCAGTGGAATTTTGGCTGCATTCCTGGAAAAAGCTGTTTATTAAATTTCTAGTAACACCAACATTATGGATATTTCTGGATTCTCAGGATCTATTCCTTCATCCTATAGTTTGGTAGATAATTTTGTGTGAATTGATGATTTTTGTTTTGTAAGAGCTGGGAAGTATAATCCACTGGTCCTCAATGAATGTCTAACTAAAAGAGATGACCTACTGAGAGGCTATTTATCACCAAGTATTATACCTATGCTTTATTTTCTTAGGCTTTTCCGTATCCCAACATAGTATCAAATGAGAAAACTTTAATAGAAGATGAAAAAGAAGTATTGAATTACATGGGTGAAGGAATAATTTCAGTGACAACTCTGCTCGAAGTGTTTCACACTGGAGGAAGTAAAGATGAAGATAATCATAGATTTAGTAATTTGGAGCAGGAAGGTAGCTATGATAAGGTAGGCTGGTTGATTCAGAAAATGTTGTGTACTTTGCATTGTATGTTAAATAAATACCTGCTGCAATATTTGCTTTTCCCCAAATTTTTTAAACACTTAATAAATTGACCACATGCTATTTTTTCTTAAAGCATTTCATCAAAATATACAAAGAATTAGGCACTGAAGATCTGACACCCATTCCAGTTGCACTGCTTTTGCAGCATCCTTTCATTCAAGACTTGATCAACAGATATCAAGAATACAAGCTTCCTGTAAGTATTGCTTTCTGGGACCAAGAACTTTGTAAGTATGCATACTGAAATTTGCATTATCCCAGAAATGTAAATGTAAATTTAGATGCTGCCAATTTGCAGTGTAGACCAGATATACAGTATAGCAGGTTGTAGATGAGATCAATTGTTTTATTTTCCATGAAAACTCCATCCATCAAAGACTGCACTGCTTTCTGACCTATTTTTTTTATACCGGTCTTGTTCGCCTATAGCTATACAGGTTTTCTACTGCCTTGTCACATGTGGCATTGCCTTTCTTGCTCCGTAGGAAGGAGCCTGTTTGAATTATCTTCCTAACAGGACCTTACTGCAAGACAGTATGGAATACGTGGTAGAACACATTCCTTTCCAGGCCAGCCAGGCTGCAGAAAAGGGCACGCAGAGGTAGTACGGGTTCAAATGTTCTTCTCTGCCATTCTCTAGAGCTTCCCCGTTACTTGCACCTGTGTATAAATGTGCATTAAAACAGTTACACATAAGGCAACTTTGGGGCAGAGTATCAACCTATTAAATGTATCGAACTATGGCAAAAATACATGATATATGGGGTGTAACAAAATAGTGTGAGACAAAATAAAAGGATGCTTGCACCTGCACACCCAAAGGTGAAACGTAAACAGTATTCACAATTTGGGATGATCACCACCAGGGGCACATGATGTCCCACAAACTATAAATGTGAGTAAAATACATGATACTCCAGGAGTAACTTGGTATTTCTGAATTATATTAATCACTTATAAGAAGTGAAGTGCACAGCATTTATTGTATCACTCATAATCATTGTTAGTAAAAGACAAGATACAAAAATATATTTGCTCTGTCAAAGTAAGGGTAAAAAATTTATTTACTATGGTAGGAAGACATACAAACGGAAAATGTAAGACAAAGGCAACACAACTGAAGACTGTAACTATCAATGAGTACCTATCCTGCCTATGTTAATGTCTCAGCCAGTTTGGAAAGAGAGACACTATGGAATGTTAGGTTGCTCCTCCTTTCTATTCCCCATTCTTTCCTTCTGATGCTTTTTCTTTAACCGAGTGCTAGATTTCCTAATTTGAACATTTTTTCCAACTTCACTGAATTTCTTGTAGACCAAAGAATTTCTTAAACTAACTCTCTGATCTCAAGAACTGTTCTTTACACAAACACTTCATGACTTTGCAATATTTAACATAATGCAAGTTCTCCATGAAGACCAAATGTGATGCAATCTAAAGTAACACTTAACTATGGTGTAAACTGAGTAATGCCATATGCATCTACTCTGCTATTTAAAGGGAAGGGGACTCTTTTTAAAACCTTTTTACACTAACCAATAGCTGAATATCAAGAGCACAGTATCTATTCTTTATCAAAATTTCTAATCTTCCTGTACAACTTTCAGGAGTAACTATATTGTATAGCTTAAAGAGTAGATTGTAGTATAGGTTTAAAATTTATTAGCTACCATCAATTATCTATGCTGTTTGTGGCTCATAGGATATGTTCAGGGCAGTACAGTTATAAAAATTACCAGTCTGTGAGAAAAGATGTAGGTGAGAAACTATTGCAGACGAATCTTATCAGTAGCTGAATGTTTCAGTGCACATGCTCTAGCCCAAAGGAGTTTCCACAGCTCATCTACCAAAGACATATTGGTATTCTTGCATTTAAATAATACATTTTTCTACGTATTTGGCAGATTCATTTGATGCCTGTGTCTCCTGACTTGACAGATAGATGATGCAGAACTTCAGTTTTCATTTGTAATACTTAGAATTTCCTCTTATACTGACTGTATCTCAAATATAGTGTTCTATGGTTTCTATACTTAAAAAGAGAAGATTATATTCCTTGACTGTACTGGTAAATACAGACTGCTGTTTTATGCATGAAATCAACACTTAACAGTCTTACTTTCAAATTCTGACTAAGTGGGGTAGAGCTAAGACAAGTTCTTACTCAACTTTACAGCAAATTATTATATTGATCAGCCAACAGGCATAAAACAGTAGCCATTGTTTTATGTAGGTTAGGATTCTGGCCAAAACCATATGTACTCCAGGAATAGTTCTTCTCTGACAGCTCTTCAAAGAGCTATGTTCGGTGAACAGGTGAACTTTTTTTCTTCCCAAAACATTTCCAAAGTAAGTAAAAAACACTTTAACATCAATTATTTTTTCAAAAATTCTCATGAGACTACGAAAATCTCTTTAAAAATTAAATCCAACCACAGTGCTGTTATTTTGAGATCTTTTACAAGATAAATATAGCAAGCTAGGTTGTGGTTTCTAAGGTTAAAATGTTTCTACTACTGCAGTCATAAACAGTGGAAAATAAAATGTTTTGCTGAAAACTATAAATGGAATATCAGCTTACAATTTTTTAAATTTGAGATAGGGTACCTGATTCCTTTGGCTTCTTCATGACTTGTTCAATTTTAACCAATACTATCTCTGATTAAAATGTTTTCTCCAGGTGAATTACATTCTTGTCTTTTGAAGGGTGTTTGTTTTCTCAGTTCACATACCTGAACTGGCTGGCAACGTCCTACGTGATGATGACCTTTCTGTTAGCCTCAGTATAAATGTCAACAAATGAACAAGCTTGGAAATTCTATTACTTTTTCATCTGGTCTTTCCTGTTCTGATTAGAAGTCTTTCTGGTCCTGACTAGAACTTTCAAGTGGCTTGCTATTATAAACACTTTTTTTTTTTTTTCACTTATCAGATGAAGTTTATTTCTTTAGAATAGTTAGACCACACCTATGTGTGTATGTGTTTATGAGTGCACTTCATCACATTCTGAATGGAATTGTCTTTAAGTACATTTAATAAAAGAATATTTTTATTAGACCAACTGATTCAGATGTAAGAAGCAAGCAATTCTCCTTTTTTCATTGTGTAGATTTGTCTATTAACATTTTTCTGTTAAGGAGTCATCTTCTTACCTGGTATTATTTCTTGTTACAAATTTTGCCTTCTATCCTGATACTGTCAAGTTACAGTAATAGAGAAACAACAACACATTTTGGTAACTCTGCATTTTGATTGTGATAAATTTAAATAAAGATTCTGGGATATATTCTACTTTTAAAATTCTTAATGCTTGCATTTTTCTGTTATTTTGAGTGGACTACATTCTTATAATAACCAGGATAACAAGGTACTTTGATAATTACTATTCAGTTTGTTGATATGAAAACTATTATGCATTTGATAATGTTATGGTGCATTTTTTATCCTGCTTTCAAATCCTGAATAGTCCTTTTTAAAAACTCTAGTTTTAGAAGATAGGGTTATCACATATTTCTATGTGTCTGTGTTTTGAAATCATTTAACATAGGCCTTTACATCAAGCTTGTTCATTCTAAACCAATTGTCATATTATTACTGCTGTTATTGTTGTTGGTTTTGTTAATCATTTCAGTAACACTGCTCAGATATTCATTCAAATAGGAGTTCCACTGAGACAGGATAGTTATGTATAGTTAACACGTCTTCATAAAAAAAAAATTATTAGTATGTTGAATAATTATTATAAAACCTCTTTATACTCACAGCAGCCATTTAATATTATACAGCTCAACAAAGATTCAGAATGCCATGTAAAATTACAAAGGGAACTTAACAAATAAAACGTAACTTAGTAAAAATGCTGTCTAGGGAGAGTTCATACAGATTGTATTCAGCAGGGCATATGAGGTGGACCATATAGTTCATAGGCAACACTTAATGCTTTGACAGAAAAAAGCACTGCTGAATCACTGTCTACTCACAGGCAGTAGCTGTAATACTTACGAAACTTGAGAAGACCTTTTCATGTGGTGTTTCAAATGTCCCGGTGTGCAAGAGAAGGAAAATTTAACTTAGTGTTTAAATACCTAGTTAAAAAAAGGGACCTATGTTATGCTTCTCTTTGTCATGTATTTGTACATATCATGTATATGCAATGCAAATATACATGAAAAATACTGTTCCTTACATTAAAAAAAGATAAAAATAATTATTCATGTAACAGAAATATTGTTTGCTTCATTAAAGACAGACATAGTAAATCTGTTGGAATACTATTTCTCCAGTGTTTTGAAGTTATTTAGTTTTGGTTTCCTCTGCAAAACTGGTCGTTGCATAAATAAAAACTGTCCAGATGAATCTTTTTTTCATTCTTAACAGATTCTTAAACGCTGTTCTGTCACTCTCTTTTCTGCATCAGATTATAATTTTCAATCATACTGTTCTTACTTTTAGACTGATGTTTAACATATATTTATGTGGCATTGCTAAAGCATAAAGTTTCCACTTCCCACACACATGAACACAGTGACAGTATTGGATGTGTATAATAATAAGCTTTCTCAAACTTATTTTTTACAGCAACATAGACTTGTACTTTGTAGTTAGAACTCTCATAACAAAATTCACATTCTGTCATGCCAGAAGCACTACCGTTTACCAAGATCCTCATCTGCTTTGTGTGGTAATGATGAGTACTGATAACTTGCTGAAGGTTCCATTTGCTAACATTTACTTTTGTCAAACCAGAATTGAAACTCCTTTTTCTGAAAGGCCTCCTTACACTGAAGTATTTCTTAGAGTCAAAGATAAATGTTAGTACTACCTTCTAAATCAAAGGATTAGCAAAACTGTCTTTTAACCCGGTTCTTCTGTATTCACTGAAATGCTCCTGATATTTTGCAAGGCATGTGAAGCATCATTACATACAGGCAGTTTCTGCTTTTGAAAGAAGGCTGTACCTTCAACATATGCATGAAATACATATTGGAGTATGTATTTGAATTTGAAGTAGTTTATTTTATCAAAATTCTGACTGTTAATTATTCTCCTAAAAAAGTTTCTCCTAGAGAGTTAAATTACTGTTTAACTTTCTATTAAATATTCAGCACCTTTTTTTTTTTTAAATCAAAGATTGCTTGTTCATCCTACTTACATAATGGGTAGTATTACTGAAACTGGAAAAAGAGAAGATTGTGCTAAAGCGAAATTATTGGAAATTAACAAATCAAACAGTGTGTGATAAAGATTGCAGAACTGTGCAAAAAATTAATTAAATGTGGGTATGTACTCTTCCAAATGTTAGTTAATTATTTTATTTTATCTTTATTTCTTTGAAGTGTTGTTTAAGTTAAGCCTGAAATATGACATATAAAAAAAGAAACTGTATTGAAGAGTTTGTCTCTGTGTGTTCTGAATAATATTTGCTGGTTTAAATAAGTCTTAATACCTCTCTTTACTGGTAAGTTCAAGCCAATGCTTAAGATCTCTGCTTACTTTAAGAATTGCGTTTTAACACACTGTAGTTTTGTAAAACTGCTGAAGGCAATGATGTTGTGTGGAAAACATGAAAACATAATCTCAGTGATATTAGTGATGCATCAGGAGCTCTTTTAGAATTTGCCATGAAGAATGTTCTTTCCGCAATTATCACTGTAAGTTTGTGTTTTCATTAGTGCGCTGAAGATATGTAGTGCTTAAGCTGAATGACAGCATTGTTTTTAGTGCCCTTCTGGAAGACAGCTTATGTAACCTAGGGAAAGTGTACTTTATAGTATTATATCTCACAGAAGTTAGTTTTTCATCATAATCTTCTAGTCCGTAGTTCGAAAGCTCACCCCATGGAAAGACAGGCATTATTATTATAAGTTTTAAGGGGGGTAAGTCTGTGACATGAAATGACCTTTCAATGTTTCATTTTCCTTTCTCTAGGATATTAAAATCTTTCTCCAAAGATCTGAACAAGCAGTCAACTGATGGAAAAAACACCACATGTAAAGACATCAATGTATGAAAAATTATTGTTCATGAACAAACCTTTTTTTTTTTAAGTTTGTAAGAAATGTGTCTTAGATCTCCAGTCCTCCCTTCCATGGGAAAGGATTGTTTGTTTATTCTTGCAAAAGCAAAATCCCATTTTGCAATTACACATTTTCTCTTATTTTAAACTAAAAAACCCACCAAATGCAAACCTAAAAACAGGGAAATTTGTGGTTGGTTGATATTGAATAGTCTGATGATACTTCTAAATAAAATTAAAACAGTTTCTGAATTTAAATAGAGCTGATAGTGTATTCATTAATAATTGGTGTAAGAACAGAGTATATCCAATTCTTGTGAGCTATCTACTTACCTTTTGTTGTGTCTAGTTTATTAATTAATTTTCATGAATTAAATTTTGTAATCAATTAATTTTTAAAAATATGTTGCAATTCATAGCTAATAGAATAAGTAAATGAAAACACCGTTTTCTGTTAGATAAGGATAAACTCCCAAAAGGACATTATGTACATGAAAATGGCATGCTTCTTGACAAGGGAGATGATGAAACTTTGTTATCCAACCTTCCTATTTCTAACCTTCCATTATAGCTCAACTCTGCTACCACCTGCTAAAAATCTGCATGCTCTTCCTCCAGCGCAGTGTGGGTGGCACAGGGTGCTGCTCCCCAGTAGCCTCCCCTCCCATCATGTTGCACTGAGCCGGCCCCAAACGAAGCACTACACCACGTGTGGTACACTGCTAATGGGCAAACTCTGCACATAATAGCAGTAGTTACTAGAATTTACAGCGGGGTTCCACACAGCCGTTTTCAGTAATCGACCAAAAGTCCTTTTTTTAAGCGGCACAGTGTATTCAAGGGCACCATGAACTCCAGACGCATTGCAGGTTTTCACGTATGGTAGGTGTTTGTCTAAAAATCTCTGTGGCACACGATGACACCTAGCGGGTGTTGCCCTCTGTGGGAGGTTAAGCAGAGTCTTGGTGAAACACTCTCATTTACTGCTGAAGCGGTTGTTTCTTTTTCTATATCCAGTCTCACTCTTACTGGCTTTCCTGGAAGTTGTTCTGGAATAGTTTTCGTAGAAATGTTCGTGTTAATAGGATGCCTTGCAGTTTTACTCAACTTTTCCATTCTCCTGTGGCTAGTGATGGCTAACTATAACATAACAGGAACCATTTTTTCATGGAACTCTTAAACATAAATTTTAGAACACTCTTTGTAATTAACTCCTCCAGAATTCAACATTAAGATGCCTAATAAATCCTCAGTTTTCACGGGCACTCATTCTTCTGATGTACAGTTTCAAGTTTTCTGAAGACTTTACATTTCAAGTAGCTAACTGTGATTATCTGAACTCAGTATACCTTCTAGTTCGCAATCTGTCCGCTGCCCGAATGTTAGCAAACCTTGTGCATTCTACATTGTCTTACTAGCTTAGAAACATAATTAGTAAGTAAATACTTCCTAGATGCCTACTCATAGCTGAACATTGCTCCATCATTCTGGGATATTTTTTTCTGCATTTGGCAGTCTGATGGTAAGAATTACACAGGACACTCAAAGCTTCCTTTCCCTGGTTTGATTCAGCAAAGTACTCAAACATATGATGCTCTCTAAGAACACAAGTAGTCCCACTGAAGTCAGCTAACTCATAGGGAAGCACAAACCTTTGCCCTTTGTTGAGAAGTGCTATCTGCACAGAATACTTTTACATTTTTTATGTATCTTTATTACTTTTTTGCCAAGTATGCATGATATAGTATAGTATTTGCATAACATTTGCTGATGTTCCTAACAAGGTTTCTAAATTGCTTGCTTGAGGTACGAAATGATTACGTATCGAAAAAGTAGTAGCAGCGTACAAAAAAAGAGAAGCTGGCATAGTTACAGACTAGCAGACCTACCTGTAAAATACATTCTGTTTTCTGGTGTGATAATAAATATTTTGTCAGATTTTTAGAACTTGCCATTGTCAATAATGACAGGTTTCTTTCTTTGTTGATTAAAGACAGTCAAATTTTGAAAGGAAAGTTGGTAGTCTAGCGGTAGCAGATCAAAGCATCTGTATGTGATATGCAAAGCTCAGAATAGAACCCAGTAAGCTTATCACTTCAGGCAAATAATGTTGTGTCTCTTCACTCTACATATTTTGTGCTAACCACACCGGCACATTGTAGCTAAGTACTATCTTAGAAACAGATGTAACTTTGTTGTGCCCCCGCAAACCATGCAAAAACCTCAACATCCTCGTTTCACTTATGACAACAGACTTTATGATGCATACAAATTAATCTGCTTTCTTACCAGAATATTTCTTCTCATAGCATATACAACTTTGCCAGAATTTCATCTCCAATATTCTTGAAACATCACATATATTTTCATACAGGACTTTGGCTTTTTTCTTCTCCTGTGAAAATATTACACAGATAGAAAAAAATTACAATACAGTTTTCTGCCTTTCGCATGTTTCGGAATCTTTGAATTTTTGCTTTTTTCCATATTTAGTTTCTTTCATGAAAGCCAGCTTTAATTACTAAGTGTTAAATTCTGACTTTGCATACTGGAGTTCTCCATGTGAAAATAAAAAGGTATTATTTTCAGAAAGGCTTGCCAACAGTCCGTAAATCTGAATGAGGTAAAAGGGAACTTCAGCTACTGGAAATCATAAATTGCTATTTAGGTAAGATTCTTCAAGTGTTACTCCGTTGTTATCCCCTGTTCATATATTTTACCTATGGCCTAAAATAGAACATAAAATCATTACTGATAAAGTTTGCAAATAAGTGCAAATTGTGGAGCAATGTCAAATAATAAAAAGTGAACTGGATTGCATGGTGAAGTGTCAAACAGTACATATTTCTGTATGGTAAAAGTAAAGGCATAATTTAAGAAGCAAAGAGTGTGTGCCATGACAACAGCAACTTATTTTTCTTAACAGTTACTATTTGATTATAATTGAGTATGATAGTGGTTATTCAACAGACTTGCAGTTCCCAGCTTAACGCTGGGGCCCAGATACGAAAGAGGTCCTTGTATTTATGAAGGGGCAATGCTGAGTAGATTTGCATTCAGATTTGGCAGTGGAGTTACAGTCATACCATGTTCAGTTTTCTCATCTACACTTCAAGCAGGATGTTGAAAACTGGAAAGTGTTCAGAGAAGAACCACAAGAATGATGGGAAATCAGGTCTTGCACCAGAAAATTCAAGGAACTCACTCTTCTTACTTCATCAAGAGAAAACTTAATGGTGGGTCAGATATCAGTTTACAAGAACCCGTGTAAAGCATCTTCATTCTGGTAGACAAAGACAAGCAAGATTCAATGGCTGGAACCTTAGGCTTCAAAGTAACATGCAGATTTTTAACAGGGAAATAGATTAACTGCTGAAGCAACTTGCTAACTGTTGTGGCAATTTCCTCATCACAGAGTTGTAAAATGAAGATAGATAATTCTTTTAAATCCAGTTTGTGATAGAAATGGAAACAAGAAATAACTGCACTTTTTATCTTAAAATACGTAACTAAAAACAAAATCCCCAAAATTTGTTTGTCTTTCAGTTAATTGTATGCAACATGTTTGATCCTGTTTTCATAGCATGCTATCTTTTAATGTTATATTTCCTCTACTCCTTAACTTAATTTATTTCAGATATTCTTGTGTATGCTGCATAGAAAATGCCTTGGATAGTTTGCCTTAGAAAAGATGCAAGGAGGTTTATATTAACAGTATTCTTATAATAATTAAAATTACTTTTACTCCATCCTTGCAAAAATGTTCTTTCAAAAAACCCAAGAAACCAAAAAGTACTGCAGAATTAGGATGTGCCCTGCGCTTTTATTGGCTCACATAAAATCTCTCTGCATAAATCAAGCTCAACATTCTGTAAAGAATTCAGTAGAATTCCTTCAGGCTCATGCCTCAGCAAGCAGAGTCCTGTACAGGAAGATTCAAAAATTTACAAGTAACCAGGACATTTTTCAAGACAGTATTTTTTTAGCTTTAAAATGTGGCTATGTGATGTCACATTGCTGCCCTAATAGCAAGAAAAGTTCCTCAATCTGCTGTGTGGTCCCTACCTCAAAATTTCCACTGAGCATGTTGTTCAGCCATGGTTTCTTCTCATACTCTTCATAAGTGAAGCAAACCATTTTGTGAAAAGCCTCTTGGCTATGCTGAATTTTCTCAATGCGTGAAGACTGCTAAAGAGAAGTTCTCCAAACTGTTGAAAGAAGCACAGAATGATAGATACAATCTGAAGATCAAGCATAACACACAAACTTATTTGCAATATTATAGTTATGAAATTAAAACAACAATCAGAAAACTTCAAAAGATGTAATATTGTTCACTTTATCCGTACAAATTACTTGCTTTGGTATTGCTTTTGTTACCTCTAACAGATTCCATAACAAATATGCTCATTTGTCAGTAGAAAAGCAATTTTATTTCATTCCCGATTTTACAAAATTTCCTTTACAGTGGAATTTTATTTTTCTAAAGTATTATGTGTAATGAAGATTCTGCATTTTGATACCTCATCATAGGACATCCCTGCAAATTCAAGAAGGACAGATGCAAAAGGCTGCCCCTTTGGAAGGAGTACTCTCGCAATGATAAACACTGGGGGTTTTCCAGCTGTGGAGCAGCTCTGCTGGAAAGGATCTGGGGGGTCTTGGTGGATGAGGCACCTGAACATGAGTCAGCAGTGTGCCCTGGCAGCAAAGACCAACAGCATCTTGACATGTATTAACAGGAACATAGCTAGTAGATTGGAAAAAGTCATTATCCTCCAGCAATCAGCACTCATTATGTCTGGAATGTGTGTCCAGTTTTGGGCCTCCCAACACCAGAAAAACATTGACAAATGGCAGTGGGTTCTGTGGAGGGCCACCAAGAGGGAGGCCTTGAGTATTTGCCAGGAGAGGAGACACTGAAGAAACCGGGCTTGTTCAGCCTAGAGAAGAGCAGGCTGTGGGGAAATCTAAAGTAGTTTTACAATACCTAT